AAATCAAGCACACGATAAGATGAAATCCCATTTTAAAACCATTACAGTCAAACCCTCCCCCCCCCAACACGTCATTAAAACAAATTTTAAAAAGTTAAAATAGGTACAAAGACATAGAAAGGGCAATTAAGAACATTGGTCAGGAAGAAGGGATCACTGAGGGAAGGCCAAGACGGAACAAAATTGTCTTCACCTGTTGGCGCGAGACGGCCACAGAAGGGGGACAGATGAATCTCCCTCACCGGGGAGCTTCCAGAACTTTGGTGCCGTGACAGAGAAGGCCCTTTGCTGGGTTGCTGCTTGCCTAACCACAGAAGGCCGGGGTATCTGAATCAAGGCTTCCAGAGATGACTGTACTGGTTGGGCAGGTTCATAAGAGAGTAGGCCGACCTCAGGTTAATGTTAGGATAGTAAGATAAAGGTTCCCTTTCTCGAAAGCCAGTCGAGTCCGACTCTAGGGTTGCGGTGCTCATCTCCGTTTCAAAGCCGAAGAGCCAGCGCTGTCCGAAGACGTTTCCGTGGTCACGTGGCCGGCATGACTTAACACCGAGGCGCACGGAACGCTGTTACCTTCCCACCGAAGTGGTCCCTATTTATCTACTTGCAATGTCTTGCTTTCGAACGGCTAGGTTGGCAGGAGCTGGAACTAGAGACGGGAGCTCACTCCGTCATGCGGCACACTCGGGTCTCGAACTGCTGAACGACCGACCTTCCACAGCCTGCAGTTCAGCGGCTTAACCACTTGAGCCACCGCAGCAGTAGATACTTCTAAATTGCTGTCGGTTGTTGGTCTTGTTCCCATCATCGGTCGGTTCAGAGGACCCATATTGCCTCCTGGTGCTGAGGACTGACGTTTTACGGCCCTGTACCTGAGGAGGGCTTTGAGATTTGAGTGCGTGTTGTCCTGATACCTTGCTGGATCAGGTCCCTGCCTCAGTCCACGAGGGGGTTGCTGGTCGGATTTTGGAGTCCCTGACCTGAAGTAACAAGTTGTGTCCGTTTATCTTCACAGAGCACTTTATGACCGGCTTGCGGAAGTGGAACAGGATTTGAGCTTTAAGAAAGACGACATCTTGTACGTTGACGACACTCTGCCGCAGGGGAACTTCGGTTGTTGGATGGCGTGGCAGCTGGACGAGAACGCCCAGAAGTTGGAAAGAGGACAGATCCCCAGCAAATACATGTAATTAAATCTCCGATCTATCAATGGCGTTTATAGCATTCCTAAAAGTGGGCAGTTGGGATGAACAGCGAAAGGGCAAATAAAAGCCATGGGTTTACTCTTCAAAGCTTTTGTGGCTGACAACAGGGAGGATTAAGTTTCCCTGAAGAGTTGACAAGAGATGGTATCGGTCTTTTTTTGAATAACACCCAATTAAACCAGCTATTCCATCAGACCCATTTTTAGTGCCGCTGATCGTTACCCGCCCTCCTAAAAACAGAAAGGACTTCTTGGTTTGGGATTCACACAGTAGCCTAAATGGCTTGTCATATGGTGGGAGTTTTTAGACAGGGGTGACATCCAAAGCTAATTTCAGTCCTCAGGCTGGGGCATAGGAAGGCACAACAGTCCTTCGTTTTAAGCTGCTAAATTAGCTTTCTCTTTTTCACTGGGATCGAGGAGAGCAAGAGCAACGGACAGAACTGAGCCCCTCACCTATGACAAAATACCTTGATACGTCGGAGGAGGCACAAGCATTTAGCTGAATAAATAATATCCCCCATTAAAAGTCAACATACGAACATAAGAGATGCCAACGTTGGATCAGGCCAGTAGCCCATCCAGTCCAACACTCTGGGTCACACAGTGGCCAAAAATACCAGGTGCCATCAGAAGGTCCAGCAGTGGGGCCAGGACACTAGAAGCCCCTCCCACTGTTGCCCCCCCCCAAGCACCAAGAAAGAATACAGAGCATCACTTGCCCCAGACTGAGAGTTTTCATCTATCCCTTGTGGTTAATAGCCCCTGATGGACCTCTGCTCCAGATGCTTATCCTATTCAGAAGAACACAAGAGAAGCCAATGTTGGATCAGGCCAACGGCCCATCCAGTCCAACACTCTGTGTCACGCAGTGGCCAGAAATACCAGGGGCCATCAGGAGGTCCAGCAGTGGGGCCAGGACACCAGAAGCCCTCCCACTGTTGCCCCCCCCAAGCACCAAGAATACAGAGCATCCCTTGCCCCAGACCGAGAGTTCCCATCTATCCCTTGTGGCTAATAGCCCCTGATGGACCTCTGCTCCAGATGCTTATCCAATTCATAAGAACACAAGAGAAGCCAATGTTGGATCAAGCCAACGGCCCATCCAGTCCCACACTCTGGGTCACACAGTGGCCAAAAATACCAGGTGCCATCAGGAGGTCCACCAGTGGGACCAGGACACTAGAAACCCCTCCCACTGTTGCTCCCCCTCCCAAGCACCAAGAAGACAGAGCATCCCTTGCCCCAGACTGAGAGTTTCTATCTATACCTTGTGGCTAATAGCCATCGATGGGCCTCTGCTCCATATGTTTATCCAGTTCCCTCTTGAAGGAGTGCCGAGTTCTTGTATTGTGAGAAAGGGAGAAAAGTACCTCTTTCTCAGTCTGCTCTATCCCATGCATAATCTTATAAACCTTAATCACGTCACCCCTCAGCCGTCGTTTCTCCTAGCTAAAGAGCCCCATCTGTCATGGCCTCTGTCACATTTGTGGGGCAAGACCGTTGTTTTGCCCCCGCCCTTTTACTGCCACCCCCACAGCTTTGGATAAAATCTAGGGTCCCCCCAAAGCCAACTTCACAGGGGTGTGGCTCAGTGGCACTCCTACGTGGCCAGGCAGGAGACTTGTGCAGACTCTCAAGTGTAAACTAACTTTATTCTTCAAGGCACAGACTCAAGGGTATTGCAAAGGACAGAACCTAGATGCACTAAGTCAGGGGTGGCCAAAGTCGCTTAACCGAAAGAGCCACATAGAGTAAATGTCAGATGTTTGAGAGCGGCAAGATTATTATTGATTTGTTTTATTGGTTTAATTTGTACCCTGCCCTCCCCATAAATACATGAACAAATATTACACGTTTTTAACCCCCACAGCTTTGGATAAAATCTAGGGTCCCCCCTCATGTGAGTTGCCCAAAGCCAACCTCACAGGGGTGTGGCTCAGTGGCACTCTGACGTGGCCAGGCAGGTGACTTTTGCAGACTCTCAAGCTTAAACAAACTTTATTCTTCAAGGCACAAACTCAAGGGTATTGCAAAGGACAGAATCTAGATGCACTAAGTCAGGGGTGGCCAAACTCGCTTAACCGAAAGAGCCACATAGAGTAAATGTCAGATGTTTGAGAGCAGCGAGATTATTATTGATTTGTTTTATTGGTTTAATTTGGACCCCGCCCTCCCCATAAATACATGAACAAATATTACACGTTTTTACTGGGTAATGTGCAAATTTGCTTTTCATTAACATTAAATGAGACGGCCAAAAATAATAACAAAAAGGGGTAAAAGCAGATATTGATAAAGATATTTATTTGTCCGATGATCGTTTGTTTGCTAATGATATTTAGCTTCCCCACCCGCCCTGCCGGGAGCCGCACAATATGTGTGAAAGAGCCGCATGCGGCTCCCAGGCCACAGCTTGGCCACCCCTGCACTAAGTGAAATAAAAGACAATTTAAACAAAAACACATTTTATTTACAACTTTTAACTTTAAAACATAAACAGTGATGCACTTTACGTGAATGAAACAGATTGTTGTTGTTCAGTCGCACAGTCGAGTCCGACTCTTTGCGACCCCATGGACCAGATCACGCCAGGCCCTCCTGTCTTCCGCCGTCCTCTGAAGTTGACTCAACTTCATGTTCGTTGCATCGATGACACTGTCTAACCATCTCATCCTTTGCCGTCCCCGTCTTCTTTGACCTTCAGTCTTTCCCAGCAGAGGATACATTTAGGAATAATTTAAACATTGTAAGAGAAAACAGAATCCAGTCAAATTTCACCCACCCCTTTCCACTATATTGGTAGAAGTCTTCCTGAGAAGTGGTCTACCAACAAATGCTGCCTCTAAGGTGTGGCGTTTTGGGAGCAAAAATTCTACTTTGTGAGCTACTGGCATTAAAGTTGTGAATGAGCAGTTTGCCCACTGCATAAATTAGTTTCGCTCTGGAGCCATCCTTCCTGAGCTGAGACGAAAATGTGTTGCATCGATGACACTGTCTAACCATCTCATCCTTTGCCGTCCCCGTCTTCTTTGACCTTCAATCTTTCCCAGCAGAGGATACATTTAGGAATAATTTAAACATTGTAAGAGAAAACAGAATCCAGTCAAATTTCACCCACCCCTTTCCACTATATTGGTAGAAGTCTTCCTGAGAAGTGGTCTACCAACAAATGCTGCCTCTAAGGTGTGGCGTTTTGGGAGCAAAAATTCTACTTTGTGAGCTACTGGCATTAAAGTTGTGAATGAGCAGTTTGCCCACTGCATAAATTAGTTTCGCTCTGGAGCCATCCTTCCTGAGCTGAGACGAAAATGTGTGAGCCGGAGGCTAAAAAGCTGTGAGCTAGCTCACACTAACTCAGCTTAGAGGGGGACACTGCTACCTACCCCTTTCCACTATATTGGTAGACTTGGCCTCCGGAGAACAGGTCTACCCACTCCTTTCCACTATATTGGTTGGCTAGGAAAAAGGCCCGTTGTGGAAATAAATACAACGGCCTCTAGAAAGAGGCTCTGGGCGGGTGCCCCGGCCTTGAACACTCAGTGTCAATTTGCTGTGGCGACCTCAGCAGGGTATAATGACATTGAGTCCACCATTTTCTCCGGAGGAACTGATCTCTGCTACCTAAAGAACAGCTGTAATTTTGAGTGATCTCCAGCCCTCACCTGGAGATTGGCAACAATGGTTCCCCAGAAGGGAATAGTTGGTTTGGAGGGTGGAGTCTGTGGCTTTGTACCTGTCCGAGGTCCCACGCCTCCTGAAACCTCATCCTGTCCAGGCTCCATCCCTCACATCTCCAGGAATTTCCCACCTGGAGTTGGCAACCCTATCTCCTTCTCAGCCGATCATCAACCTACCTTTATTTCCCCCTCACTCTTCAGCTTTCCACCCCCCACACACCTGCAGCCTCTCCCGTGCTCTGAAGCCCTGACTGCTACGTCACATTGGCTGTCCTATGGGGGCCACCTCAGCAGCATATAAGGATACAGAGCCCACCATTTTCTCCAGGGGAACTGATCTCTGCCATCTGGAAAGCAGTTGTAATTCTGAGGGATCTCCAGCCCTCACCTGGAGATGGGACACATTTTACCTCAGAACAGCAAACTGTTTAGAATGTTAGAGGCAAAAGCCAATCAAATTGCATATGCAAACGACCTCTGTGTTCTGAGGCAAAGGCCAATGAGGCTGCATATGCAAATAACCTCTGTGTTCTGACTGGCTATGGGGGGGAGAGGAACAGCAAACTGTTTAGAATGTTGGAGGCAGGACTCAGGCAAAGCAGCCAGTGGATAGGGACAGATTCTGAGTGACACACCAGGGCACCAACCAATTCCGGAGCATGTGGAATGTTCTAGAGAAGTGCCACCACCATTCGGCTTTTATATATAAGGGAGATTTGTCCTCTGGAGACCAGGTCTACCCACCCCTTTCCACTATATTGGTACACCTGGCCTCCTGGCTATAATGGAGAATGAATCTGGGGGTATCTGGGGCTCGGAGGGGCTGTTGTTTCAATAAGAGGCATCAAATTTGCATCATAGCTGCTTGTGCCTCTCCTCAGCCCCCCGCCCAGGGGTCCAGTTCTATGGTCCCCAGAAAGAGGTGCCCCCATCCATTGTTTCCATGGAGGAAAAAATGTCTTGTGAGCAAAAGAAAAAGCTGCCTGTTAAAATGTTGTGTGCCAGCACTCCCTAGCACAGCTTAAAGGGAACTGTGGTAGCTGTGTTGGTCTGAAGCAGTGAAACACAAGTTTGGTCAAATGGCACCTTTAGGGCCAACAACGTTTTATTCCTGTATAAGCTTCCATGTGCGTGTGCACAAAAGCTTATCCAAGGAATACAATTTTGTTGGTCTGAAAGGTGCCACTGGACTAAACTTCGTTCTTCAGATCATAGTGTGGCCTGTTGGCACATGCACCAGGATGCACATCAGCCTGGGAGTTCAAATGCAATTTATGTCACGCAGCGGGGGCTCTCTGGGCAGGCTGGGCATTCCCGGGCAACCCTGGGCTTTCTTTGTGGCCTCTGTGCAGTCCCGCACTTGGCTAAAGCACCTGTGCGAGACCTGGTCTCGGAAATTTCCAGAGTTAATCCTCAACACTTGTTTGGCGGGGTTTCTCCTTGACTCTTGTGAGCAAGCATCTAATGCGTATGCCTGGAGCTGAGGGAGTGAGCTCCCATCTCTAGTTCCAGCTCCTGCCAACCTAGCAGTTCGAAAGCAAGAAATTGCAAATAGATAAATAGGTGCCGCTTCGGTGGGAAGGGAACAGCGTTCCGTGCGCCTTGGTGTTTAGTCATGCCGGCCACATGACCATGGAAATATCTTTGGACAGTGCTGGCTCTTCGCCTTGGAAACGGAGATGAGCACCGCAACCCTAGAGTCGGATTCAACTGGCTTTCGAGCAAGGGAACTTTTACCTTTACCTTTAAGACACTGAACTGCAGACCAGAAGGTTGGTAGATCAACAGTTCAAGACCCAAGTGCCGCATGACAGAGTGAGCTCCCGTTTCTGGCCCCAGCTCCTGACAACCTAGCAGTTCGAAAGCAAGAAATTGCAAGTAGATAAATAGGTAACGGAGCTGCGGTGGCTCAAGTGGCTAAGACGCTGAACTGCAGGCTGTGGAAGGTCAGTAGTTCAGCAGTTCGAGACCCGAGTTGCCGCATGAGTGGTCATCTGTGCAGTGAAAAGATTAAATTGTTCTGTATTTTTTCTTAGCGTCTTTTTGCAGTTTTTTAAAAAAATCTTTTCACTGCACAGATGACCACTCAAAGATCCTCAGTTACAGGTAAGCAACCTGGGTGGGTTTTTCCCTGGTTTAGACAGCATCTCTGTTCCGCTTCAGTTCAGTTACCTGGCCCATTTCCTTTTTAGGATGGAGCAGGAGTTCTACAGGAGACACAGCATGTCCGAGGCGAAGGACGAGAATAGCTCCACAAAGACATCGTCAGCCGCAGCTCGGAGGTCGTTCTTTAGGAGGAAGCATAAACACAAGCGCAGCGGGTCCAAAGATGGAAAGGATTTGCAGGCCCTCGATACCATCAGCACGGACTCCATTCCTTTCTTGGACGGCAAGTGACCCTGTTTACAGAGTTTAGTTAATATGCAGCAGAATTATATTATTCATGTTTACTCCGGGCTTGAGAAGATTGCCATACTGTGAATCATCTTGGTATCCTAGTTTTCCTCTCTGGACAGAGGGAATATTTAGTCATGCTGCTTCCTGGCGGTGTTTTAAGGTGTGTTTTTCTCGTCCTGTAGATCAGCTCTAAAACTGCCAAGTCTTGGAAAGTGATGTGTTCATTTCCTTGTTCATAATATTCACCGGCCGTGACTTGGATAGGTTAGTCAAGAATGGAAGAGGGCCAACTCTAAAAATCTAATTATGAAACATACAAAAATATGCATGTATTTATTAAACACAAATTAAAATCACAAATAAGGGCCCATTCATACCTCATATACAAATATAAAAATACAAAGGCTGATGAAGTAGACCTAACGCGTTTCGGCCTTCACAGGCCTTCCTCAGAGGTCTAATGCAAATAGAACATATTGGCTAATATGTAAAAATATATACAATCATACATATGCAAAATATGAAATAAAGACCAGAACACAATTGTTCCAAAGTTTAACCACTGGGCAAAAATACAAATGAAACCTCCCGTGCAATCACATGTCCAGTGGTACTTCTCTCTGGTCAATTATATATTCTCCTGAGATTGTATAGCCAAATGTTCCCAATGAAATATTCCATCAGTTAAGAGCAGTGCTGAAGGCCGAAACGCGTTAGGTCTACTTCATCAGCCTTTGTATGTTTTTATATTTGGATATGAGGTATGAATGGGCCCTTATTTGTGATTTTAATTTGTGTTGAATAAATACATGTATATTTTTGTATGTTTCATAATTAGATTTTTAGAGTTGGCCCTCTTCCATTCTTGACTAACCTTTTTAGGTTCTGAATTCTAGGTTTTAGGTTCAGTTTTTTCCCCTTTTCCCCTTTTTTCCCCTGACCTGGATAGCCCAGTTTTGTCAGTTCTTGGGGGCTAGGCGGGGTCGGCCCTGGTGAGTCCTTGGATGGCAGGCAATGGCAGACCACTGCTGAAAGTCTCTTGCCTTAAAGACCCTGCAAAATTGCCATAAGTTGGATGCGACTTGATGGTGCTTTACACCACCAGTATTCACACATGCAACACAAATCCACGTGTTCTCTTACAGAAATGTCCTGGAAATTCTGTGGCTCGTTTTCATTGATTTTCTTTTTTTAAAAAAGACAGAGCAAAATCCTGAGGGAGTTTATGTACGATCCCTGTTGATACGAGCTGGTTTTCTCTTACATAACCAGCTTTTGCAGAACAAATCCCCCGTGGATTGTGCCCAAGGAAAACAGCCTGTTTCATCATACGGTCAACATTCAGGGAGACAGACACTGGAAGGCGTGGTTATGTGCCCTGTACCTGGAAGGCATCACGAGTGGAATACTTGGTTAAAAACAAAGATTTATTTAAAAATTAAAGAAGTGTTTCAGAAACATTTCTTTGCTCGTTCCAAGTATTTCCCCCCCCCTTCCTTTTCCCTGTGCCAAGAAGCAAAGGTTTTGGGTCACAGGCAGGGGTCATTTTGTAGAAAAAGAGGTGCAGGAGCTCATTAGCATAACTTATTTGCATATGCCACACCCCCTGGCATCACCGGAAGTGTGTCAGAAGGCAACACCCACCGCTCAGGCTCCACTGGACTGTTTTGGATTGCTAGCTATTGGGGTGGGGGGGAAACATGCAGATCTGCCCTCACAGTGGAGGGAGAGCTTATACCTGAAGGCGGGCCGGGGGGGGGGGGGGGGTCTGCAACTTACCTGTCTGCTTCTTGCTCCTTGTTGCCCGACTGAGGACTGCGGGGGGCGGGGCTTGTTGCATGTGCCCGCCCCCTGGGCTCCTTACTGCCGGAGCTCTGCTCCTGTGCGCTCCCGCAGGAAATGACCCCTGGTCACAGGATATAAAACAGCTTGTCATTTTTAAAAATTAGAACGGGGTGGATCCAACCATCGTCCAGGAATCTTTTCTCCAGCATCAGTGACTCTTCTTTCCACGGAAGAGCCACTCAAGTTGGAAGAAAGCCTCTTAGGCCAGATGAGGGCTTCCAGGTTTACTCAGTGGAGTGGCACGATACAGGTAGGACACACGGCCAAATATGTGTTTGCGGGTCGGGGGGGGTTAAAAAATCTTTTATACCAAGGGTGCTCCATCCTTTTGGGGCGCTTTTGGACTTTCGTGGCGGGTGCTGCCTCAAAACAGCTGCCGGATGAGGCAGAGCCGGCCCAGAAGAAGACTGTCATGGCCGACCTTCAGTCACACCACGAAGAATCCTCATGCTGTGGTAGCAGCTGCCAGTGCTCCCTCTGAGCTGTGAAGTCCTGTGAACAAAACTTCTCCTTTGTGAGTTCCTGGTATTAAGGTTGTGAGTGAGCGACTTGGCTGCTGCATAAATTAGTTTGCGCTGGAGCCCTCCTTCCTGAGCTAAGGCAAATATGTGTGAGCCGGAGGCTAGAAAACTGTGAGCTAGCTCACACTAACTCAGCCTAGAGGGAACACTGGCACCTGCCACCAGTGTTTTTAAAATATCTTCCCGGACGTTCAAATCTCCAGTGGCCATTCAGAAGCCTTGCTGGCCAAGAGAAGAAGAGGAGGAGATTGGATTTATACCCCATGGCCTTTCACTACCCAAAGGACTCTCAGAGCGGCTTACAAATTCCTTTCCCTTCCCCTCCCCACAACAGACACCCTGTGAGGTAGGCGGGGCTGAGAGAGCTCTTGACAGGGACGGCTCTTTTTCAGTAACAGCTCTTATCAGAACTACGGCTTGCCCAAGGTCATCCAGCCAGGTGCATGTGGAGGAGGAGTGGGGAATCAAACCCGATTTTCCTAGATAAGAGTCCGCGCACTTAACCACAACACCAAACTGGCTCTCACCTGGCCCCACTCACTTTCTAAAAGCACTTGGCGGGCCCTAGGGAAGGGCTCAGTGGGCACCATGTTGTGGACCCCTGTTTTATACTGTTGTGGGATTCAGTTTTCCCCTCGGGTGCAAAGGGTGGAGCACGTAATGCTGCCATGTTTGCGTCTAAAAACCTGAGAACTGAATGTGAGGGGTCCCTCTCTTTCCTAGATGCGGTCAGCTTGGCTTATCAGAGAGTCCAGAAAGTGGACTGCACGTCTCCAAGGCCTGTGCTTATCCTGGGGCCACTGCTCGACGCTGTGAAGGACATGCTAGTAAAGGAGTCTCCAGGAAAATTTTGCAGATGTCCCCTTGGTAAGTATCGAAACCCAAAAAAACAACACTCCCAGTATCAAGAGACCAAAAACAACAAAACTGGGGACAAAATCAGTCCAATAATCAGTCCACTCTTAAACATTAAATATGTATGCTAATACAATCACTTTTATACTTGATAATAGTATCTTAAGTATACAAATTATTAACAAGGTATACAACCTAACCATACAATATCCTAATGTTATACAATACTAATATACTAACATACAGTAATACCACAGAATACCAATTGTTGCTAACAGCCAAAAAGTACTAGTAGACTTTCAACATGTGCTGTTAACAGGCAAAGGAATGTAAAGCTTGACAAAGCAGCCGGCTTGTGCTTGGTTTCGTCTCTTAACTTCCTCAGAAGCAAGTTAGCTTATACTGTGTAAGAGTTTTCCTTCTGGTGTAATGTTACTTCCTAGTTCCTAAAGACTAGGGGACCATAGTTTTCCCTCGGATGATTGTGGCCTCACCCCCAACGTCCCCGACGTGCTTGCGTCACTTCCGTGTGACGTGCTTTGGGGGTGGGGTCCCGATCCGGCGGCGGGGAATGGGCCTCCCGGGCGGGGGTTTCCCCGCCCCCCCCGGGGGGACTTGGCATCCCTAGAATGACATCGGGGCGCAGTCCTACGTTAGAAAAGGTGCAGGGGAGAGTGACATCGGGGCACGGTTCTACGTTGAAAAAGGGCCCGTGGAGTTTCTTCAGGCCCCAGTGACATCATCAACCCTGCTGTCTCCGCCTCCCAGCAAGCCGCTTCTCCTCTTGCAGTGTTAAGCCCCTCCCCGTCCCCTGGAGAGCATGCAGGCCGGTGTCTCAGGGTCTTAGCAGAGAGCATGTGTTCCTGGAAATCTGGTTAAGCTTCCCCCCCCCCTTAAATGTCCCCGAGCCAAATAATTGCACCGAAGTAGTTTAAACGAGAATGCACTTTGCAAAAGAAGAAGAAGAAGGGAGAGTTGAGAAGCATCTGTGCACCAGCTTCCTTCTAAATTAATTTGTGCTTCAAACCCGAATAAGCGGCGGTTTGTTTTTGTTCTTCTTCTCCAACAGAGGTGATGAAAGCTTCCCAGCAAGCCATTGAGCGGGGCGTGAAGGACTGCCTGTTCATCGACTACAAGCGTAGGAGCGGGCACTTCGACGTGACAACGGTGGCCTCCATAAAAGAAATTACCGAAAAGGTGCTTCTCTTCTGGGGGGGGGGTAACTTTTATCCTTGGGGGATTTTTCTCCGCCAGAAAAAGAGGGGAGGGGAATGTGGGGACCCACGCAGCTTTTCTCCGGCTGAAGTGCCGCAGGCAGGATCCCGCAAGCTTTTCAGTCTCCCCAGGAGCCTTTTATAAGTTCCTCTGAACTCTTTGGAGGGGAGCCGGAAATAATAGGTGTGCAAATAGAAAACGAGGAGACAGGGCTCTTTTTGCAGGAAAAGCCCAGCAGGAACTCATTAGCATAATAGGCCACACCCAACAGCAGGAACTCATTAGCATATTAGGCCACACCCTGACAGCAGAGCTCATTCGCGTATTAGGCCGCACCCCCATGTTGCCAGAAGTGTGGTCATCCAGCCACACCCACCTTTTGCTGCTTATTCCGTTGACCTTGTTTGTTGTCAAAACCCAGGGCCTTTTTTTATAGCAGGAACTCCTTTGCATTTTAGGCCACACACCCCGAATGTAGCCAATCCGAATGCGTTCCTGCTGTTGGGTGTGGCCTATTATGCTAATGAGTTCCTGCTGGGCGTGGCCAACACGGGAGCCAGCCGGAACTCCGTTCCTGTGCCTTCCTGCCCAAAAATAGCCCTGGAGGAGCACCTTAGAGACGTGCAAGGTTTTCCGGGTAGAAGCTTTCAAGAGTCAACGCTCCCTTTGCCAGATTCCCAGGAACTTTGATTCTTGCAAGCTCATACCTTGAAAAAGAAGATTTGGGTGTGTGTTTTTGCACCTGTGTGTACATATACGTGTGTTGTGTTCGTGCGTGCTCCAGTGCCTGGAAGTCATGGCGACCTCTGGCGACTCCTACTGGGGCATGGAGGACATTCGGAGAAGTGGCTTGATAGCCTACCTCTGCCTTCTAGCCCCAGTATTCTCTGGAGGTCTCCCATCCAAATACCAGCTCCCGAGATCTGACGAGATCGGGCCGGCCGGGGCAGGGCTCACACCCCGGAAGCCTTGTTGGTCCCTAAGGTGCCATTGGGCTCAAATCTAGCTGTTCTACTAGAGACCAAGGGTCTACTCTCGGGGGGGGGGATAGAGAACTAGTTCTGTATAACTTTCCTTTTATTATATTGTTTATATGTGTTAAATAGTGGGTTCCATGGATGAGCAGGCTCGAGTCTAGCGATCAGCTCAACTTTATTTGTGTTTTCAGCAAGAGCAAGGCAAGACCCCAGAGCCTCAGCTCCGTTAAAAAGCAGGCAATTGCCACACCCAAACACACCCCACTCCCAGTGACAGGCTATTTACTAGATTGGTTACTTTCAGAATCCTGGCAGGCTATTGTCCTTGTGCTCCAAGCTCAGCCAGTCTCTGGGGTGATTCAATTAGTAATGATTCAGTCCCAGTACATAACAATATGTAAAGCTGATTCAACATGTAGTAGCTAATTCAGTCAGGTATAAACTATGTTTTGTGTTTGAGGACAGAGAAGCCATGGAAAAGCTGTTTTGTTTTCTTGGAGGAAGAACAACAGACCTGAAGCACTGGGGGAAATTTAAATGTATGCCACGATTGCTTTCTTATAAAACCTAAACCTACTACTATTATAGTAAATTTACAGTGCATCCTTTGTAACTTATTTGTAAGTATTGAAAGTATAAACGCCTTTGTTTTGTACAAGCAAAATTGCAGATATAGCCAAAGCTAGAGAGGGGAGAACTGTAGCACGCCAGTCTTAGTTTCTGCCATCTAAGAGGTAGGAGCGTATTTGGATGCACAGTTAAAATTGTATTACATTGAAAACATTGAGCTAGTCAATAGTGTATTAGACACATTAAGCCATACTAAGGCTCCGGTCACACGGGCAGGAAACTGGGGGGGGGGGAGCGTGGCTGTTTGCCCCGGGGCAAACTAACGCGCAGTTAAGTGATCAGACCTCCTTTGGCGGTTCTGTGGAGGTACCATGGAGGTTCCGTGGGTAGGGAGAGGTGCCGATCACAGGACACGCCTGCGCGCATAGAAGAAGCGCGCGGTGCGGCAAACTGGTTTTCTTTTTTTGTGTACAGAACGAATGCGCATGCTCCGGTGGGTGCGTGTGCGCATCCACGGAAACTTGGGGGGGGGGAACCCCTTTTTCGCAAGGGGACATGGGCGGGCGCCGGATGCCACCGGAAACGTGATCAGACGCCCGCCCTTGCCCCGCGGTTTCCGGAAATGAGTACCTCCGAGGTACTAGTTTTTTTGCTGCGTGTTTTCGGCAGGAAGCCTTGGTTGTGCCACGGAAGTGCTACGCTTCCCAGATGTGCCGGTGAGATCACGCCCGGAAAATCCGCCTGTCTTCCATCTCTCTTGCGTGGCTAATGTTCCGTTTGACCGCAGCCTAAGTGTGGATAAAATTAGTTGCATTTTGACAATAACTGCATCCTTAAAAATATATTGGGTTTGTCTCTACAGTATACACATGAATTGTCGTTCTCTAATGTTGTAAATTGTATTTACATTAAAAAAAATCCCTCCATACTAAATATTTTAAGTGAGTAAAACCCTGTCTGGAAAGGCATTTCACTCATTCCAAAAGAGAAAGTATTTCATAAGAGGGGTTTTGGGGTTGGGTGGGGGTGGGGTTGGTCTCCGTGCATCCCAAATTTCCAGTTTTTCCACTGGGAAAAAACTGAAGAAAATACTTAGGGGGAGGCCTGTCCCCCATTTTGTGGGTCCCCGCCCCCACTGAGCCTTCAGCTGTGCCTTCAAGGTTAATCTCAGTTGCTTATTTCGAGTGTACCTGCAGCAACTAGGAACAGCGTGTAGAACACAAACAAAAGGGAGACAGGCCCCCCCCTCCAGCCTACAGCCTAAAGGTCAAAACAGACGTGATGGGGACAGCCATACTTGTTTCTGTTACGGCCCCATTCACCTCTAAAATGGACACGCTTTTTATTGATTTGCTTCATTTATACCCCACTTCACTCCCCTGTTTTATCCTCACAACAACCCTGTGAGGTAGGCTGGGCTGAGAGTCTGTTACCGGCCCAAGGTCACCCTGTGAGCAGAGTGGGGATTCGAACCTGGGTCTCCCAGATCTTAGTCTGACACCCTAGCCACTACACCACACTGGCTTTCACCACTGCTTTCTTTACGTTGTGTTTCTTACATCCAAAGGGGCATGCAGGTGTACAAGGGGCTGAACCCTTCCCCCGCGTAACATGGCGGGAGTTGCTCTTCTCCCAGCAATAGCACCAATACCAAAACCGAGCTGAACTGGGGTGCACAAAACATTTAAAGGACTGCAGAGTAGGGTGGTGGGAGAAAGGGGAAAGTGTTCAGCTCGTTTCACCTTTGGTTTTAAGACCTCACAGGGTAGTCGTGCAGATAAAATGGAGGAAAAGAGAATGACACAGGCTGCTTTGGGTCCCCGTCGGAGAGGAAGGTGGGGATATAAAGGAAATAAATAAAAGTAGATCTCCTGCCGTCGTTAGACGTAAATGGGCAGACACATGCATGGGCAAGTGCAATCACGGACACGTAAGCGTCTTTTGTCCAGCGTCTTAAGAGGTTCAAGCTGTTCAGACAACAGACGAACGTTCAGCTTTGAACATTCGCTCATCCGTGAACAGGGCGTGAGCTGAACCAGCAGGTGATCAAGCGTTCCAGGTTTTTAACAGACATTTACATGCGCCAGCAGAAGGAACCAGCGGGATGCTGGGCAATAGAGCAGTGGAGTCCGGGAGCATCTCTGAAGAGAGAGAGGGCGTGGTGTTGCCAGGGAGTGGAACGTGCACATTGGGGTTCGTGGGGGGAATAAGGGTACCTGTGGAGAAAAGACAGTGAGGCAGAGCACAGGAGGAAAAAGAGAAGGAAACCAGAGTTTTAATTGGGATGCTCGAAAGAGGGATCTGGCACAGAGAACAGGACAGAGGAGGGACAGCCCCATGACGATGAGTGGAGTATGCCTGGATGGCCAAAGGACTTACAGCTGTTAACTCCTTAGATGGCTTCTGGGATAGAGGTCCCCGACCTTTTTGAGCCTCCGGTCACTTTTGAAATCCGGACACAGCGTGGTGGCCGCAGCCACAAGATGGCTGCCATGGTAGGCAGAGCCAGCCACAAAAAGGCTGACGGTGGCCCCGGTCACACGGGCCGGATATCGCGGGGGGGGGGAGGCGTGGCTAATTGCCCCGGCTCAGTTTGATGCGCAATTATGCGATCAGCCGCGCCGGCGGCACACCACGGGTCCTTCCCTCGGCGCCAGCGGGTAAACGCGGGACCGGAGGGGAATTCCGCGCGCTGGCGCGATCACACCACGGGCGTCTGGAGGCAGCCCATGGCAAACGTTTACTAGTACCTTGGAGGTACTAGTTTGTTGGGATTCTTTGATTCAGGGTCGATGGTTGTATTGCAAACACAAGAGCACACACTTAGTAAAAGAAAAAAATATCTTTACTATAAAACAAAATAAAACATGGTTAGGGTACCTTGGATAAAAGAAATAAAATAGAAAGGTTACATACTTAGTTACTCTCAGTAATAAATGCTAACAACTACGTCTTTCTATCTGTCTTGGCTTCTAGAAGAGAACTACCGCTTTGGTTCACACAAAGGGCCATAAACTTGTGAATACATTTATTTATTTATTTATTTGGATTTATATCCCGCCCTCCTCTACAAACAAGATGTTAGTTGACCAATACAAAGGTTACAGGTCACTTCATCAGGGTAAACAACTCCCACAAACTTTCCCGCCATTGAATACATTATGTAACGTAACATCCTGTTTCCTAACAAACAACATTTAACTCTGTAATGACTGAAGTGTAAGCAACTTGCAATTCCAACATAGTTTTTTAAGGCGCATTGTCGGCGGTAAGCCACCGGTGCGCTCCACTTCCCAGATGTTGGGGTGTGATCGCGGCCGGATAATCCGCCCACCATCCGTGCCTCTCCCGCGGCAACTTTGCCGTGTGACCAGGGCCATGGCTTACCTTTGGTCACACAGTGAAGATCCTTGTGCTGTGGTGGCAGTGGCTGGGGGAGGGACTGTGGCTCACCAGCTGAACATCTGCATGGCACGCAGAAGGTCCCAGGTTCAATCCCCAGCCTCCCCAGTTAAAAAGGACCAGGCAGTGAGTAGATGACGGAGAAGACCTCTGCCTGAAACCCTGGAGAGCCACCGCCAGTCTGAGTCGAGAATACTGACTTTGGTGGGCTGAGGGTCTGATTCCGGATAAGGCGGCTTCATGTGTTTGTTTTTAAAAATTGGCACAGCCAGTCAAATGTCCAGTTGCTGATCAGAAGCCCTTGCTGGGCAAAACCCCCACCCGGTCTTGCCCACTTTCTAAAAGCATTTGGTTGGCACCCGGAAACGTGTCGATGGGCACCACGTTGGAGACCCCTGTTCCATGGAGGTTGGGAAGAACCTCCATGGTACCTCCACAGAACCTCCAAAGGAGGTCTGATCACTTAACTGTTGGGAAGACAATAACAACCTGCCTAGTTTGGGGGTGTATTAGGATTCCTGAGCCTATGTCTGTGAAATGCTTTGAATGTCCAACAGCCCCATGTTGCTGCTGTTTTGTTCTTAGGACTGTCACTGTCTCTTGGATATTGCTCCTCACGCCATAGAGCGGCTCCACAGCATTCACATCTACCCGATCGTCGTCTTCATTCGCTACAAGAACACCAAGCAAATCAAGTAAGAGTCAAACATGTGCCCTTTTAAAGCCGTTTTTAAGGCCTGCCATGTCTCATGCACCCACAAATCTTTCTTCTCTCATATGCAGAGAGTTTTTGTTTCATTTTTTTAAGGAAAATGTTCCTGTGATCCTGGTTTATGTAGCATTGGTCATGACCTGTCAACGGGGCCTCTGCTTTAATAAAGCATGATCCTTTAAAGCCCTGTATGGCTTAGGGCCACCATACCTTAAGGACCGCTTTCTCCCATATGAACCTACCTGCATGCAGCAGTCATCTTCGGAGGCCCTGTTTCAGTTGCCCCCGCCACCTGAAAATAGACAGGTGGCAACCAGTGTTCCCTCTCAGCTGAGTGACTGTGAGCTAGCTCACAGTTTTTCAGCCTCCGGCTCACACATTTTTTGCCTTCGCTCAGGAAGGGATGGCCCCAGAGCAAACTTAATTTATGCAGTAGCCAAATCGCTCGCTCACAACTTTAATGCCAGGAGCTCACAAAAGTAGAATTTTTGCTCACAAGACTCCACAGCTTAGAGGGAGCCTTGGTGGCAACCCAAGAAAGGGGCCTTCTCTGTTGTGGCACCAAAGATTTTGGAACTCCTTTCCCAGGGAGATTCAGCTGTCATTGTCTTTTGCCACCAGGTAGAGACTTTTTTGGGGGGGGTATACCCCCAAGTACGGTTACTGGCCCTCCTTGTTTGTTTATATGTTTTTGTGTGTTTTTACTTGAATTGTTTTATAATTTTAATGTATTTCTAATTGCTCGGTTGTTTTAATTTTTTTAATGTTTGCTGCTTTGGGGACCCCAATTGGGTGGGTGGTGGGACGGTGGGTTTAAAAGGTTTTTAAGGAAATAAATAAAAGGGAATAGACAGTTTGTGTCTGCAGTGTGCATCACAGCCCATCTTTGTGGTTTGAATACTTATGAATGTCTATCGTGAAGTGGCAAGGTTATGGGGCAGCATGGGAAACTGCAATTCCATGGCCTTCTATCATCCCCTCTTTTCTGGAAGATGTTTTGTACTTCATGATTCTTAAAAAAAAAAAAAGAGCAGTGAAGTGCAAAAGATAAAAGAAGGTCAGACGGCTGAACACAGCAGAATCAGATCTGTGTCTGCTTGCCACACTTGATCGGATTGGCCCTGCGTGGTTTCCTTCTGCCGATAGCAGAATGCCTTTTCAAGTGCAGTATTTAAAGGATTAACTGTGGGTGGCACTGCAGCATCTATCAGGACTGACTTTTCTGTGCCACGCAGCAGATGGCGCCCTTTGCACATGGTGGCACCCGTACAGAAATCAGGCTTGGGCACAAACCCCGTCTCCTGCTGTCTCTTGCAGTTTCGTTGTGAAAAGTTAGCTCTTAAAATGTTTAGGTTTTTTTTTTTAAAGTATGCATTGTGTGTTTACAGGGAGCAAAAAGACCCCATCTTCCTGCGGGACAAAGTGACCCAGAAACATTCCAAAGAACAGTTTGAGACTGCTCAAAAAATAGAACAGGAGTATAGCAAGTACTTTACAGGTTTGTATTTAGTTACAGTTGAAGAAACCATGCAACAATGGAAAGTTTGCATCAGCCTCTTTGGTGTTCCCCTTGACAAGGTTTCTAAAACATTCCCCCCCCCCTCAAAACATTTTTGTCCCGAACAACCAGAAGCTTCATGGAGGATCTTCTTGACAGCTGAATATATTATGATTTCAAATCACTTTTTTGATACATATAGGCTCCAGGGCTCTTTTTGTAGAAAAAGCCCAGCAGGAACTCATTAGCATAATAGGCTACACCCAACAGCAGGAACTCATTAGCATTTTGGGCCACACCCCTGACAGCACAGCTCATTAGCACATTAGGCCGCACCCCCATGTTACCAGAAGTCTGGTCATCCAGCCACACCCACCTTTTGCTTGTTATTCTGTTTACCTTGTTTGTTGTCCAAACCCAGGGCCTTTTTTTGTAGCAGGGACTCCTTTGCATGTTAGGCCACACACCCCTAATGTAGCCAATCCTAATGAGTTCCTCTGTTGGGTGTGGCCTATTATGCTAATGATTTCCTGCTGGGCGTGGCCAACTCGGGAGCCAGCCGGAACTCCGTTCCTGTGCGTTCCTGCCCAAAAATAGCCCTGCATATAGCCCTGAAGTGGGAATAGTCTTAAGTCTCTGTGTCATGTCCTGAGATTTTTTGCATACTAACCTCACAGGCTGGGAAACGTTTCCTTTTGATGTGTTTATGTCCAAAAATAACCTGCGCAGCCTTCTGATGCGTGATTCTTTTTTGTACATTTTCAGCAAAGCACCACTCGCAGGGCTCTTTTTGTAGCAGGAACTCCTTTGCATATTAGGCCACACACCCCTAATGTAGCCAATCCTGCAAGAGCTTACAGAGCTCTTCTTACAGGAGCTACTGTAAGCTCTTGGAGGATTGGCTACATTAGGGGTGTGTCGCTCAATATGCAAATGAGTACCTGCTACAAAAAGAGCCCTGCGGCGGGCCAACACAACCGGACTGTTCTGTAACCTTCGAAGACCCTGTGGAATCAAGCATCCCAAGTTCTGTGAATATTTGGGAACGTGTGGTCCCTTGCCACAGAAGGAAGCGCTGAGTTGGGTTCCCCCACTTGGTGCCCGTGGACGCGGTGGCAACCACTGACTCCATTCTCGATCCCCACCATCACCCACCAAGTGTTTTTTAAAAGTGGGTGGGGCCAAGTGGGGCCAGTTTGGTGTCGTGGTTAAGTGCGCGGACTCTCATCTGGGAGAACCGGGTTTGATTCCCCACTCCTCCACTCGCAGCTGCTGGATGACCTTGGGCAAGCCATAGTTCTGTCACAGCTGTTCTCTCAAGGGCAGTTCTGGAAAGAGCTCTCTCAGCCCCGCCTACCTCACAGGGTGTCTGTAGTGGGGAGGGGAAGGGAAAGCCACTCTGAGACTCCCAAGTGAAGGGCGGGGTATAAATCCAGTCTCCTCCTCCTCCTCCACCTCCTCCTCCTCCAGCACTGCCACTGAGTTTACCTCGTGTGATCTGGTTGGCTGTTCAGATGGAAATAACATTATTTCCGTGGCAGCGGCCGCCACAGTATTTGTTCTGTTCTTTCTCACCCCACCTTCCCAGTGTATTTTTAAAATCAACTCCTTTTCTCCCCTGCACTTGGGCTGCTTCTGTGTGTGTGATTTTGCTCCCGGTTGTAACCAGAGATTCCCTCCTGCATCAGAGAACCTGAACTTAAAACACTTTTAAGGCTTTGCCTCTACAAAAAACGTTTAGTGACAAGAGTTCTGGATTTGTCTTATTAGAGGGCAATTTACAGTTTCTAATTCTGATAATACCAATGAATTGGGGGGGGGGGAGTATGGTTCTTTGGATGGAACCAGGAAATCAGACAGAATACCTGCAGAAAACATTTATCTTTTATTGACGTAAGAAGTTGTTTCCTTTAATGAGCAAGACGGGAAAATATACAAGCATGAAGAAGTTAATCCTACAATTTACTGTGAAAATGAATGCTAAAATTATCAAAGTACCTCGCATTGCTTTTAGCAAGTAATAGTTTTAAATCAAGCCAGGTTCCAGCTGTCTGTCTCAGCACTTTCAGGCATAATCAGACGGCACAAGAAAATCTCACTTGCTCTTCTCCTGAGACCATCCAGAGAAATCTGATTTGCTTGTCACAGGAGTGTATATTTTATCAGTTCTTATCTTATCTCTAAATCTTGTCTGTCATAATCATGAGATATCATTTAGATTGCTGACTGGTTCATAATTAAATAAGTGATAAACAACATATGAGCTAATCTGCAGGTACATATAAGATACACCTGGTAAAGAAAGATAAGAAGACCAATCTCAACTTTTAGCCTCTGTTTAAAAAGCAGTTAATCTACCTTTTTCTGTAACTGTTTCAACTAACTGTCCAAGATGGAAGTCACTTGATCTCACCTAGAGTCTTGTGTTCAGTTTTGGGCACCACAATTTAAGAAGGATATAGACGAGCTGGAACGTGTCCAGAGGAGGGCATTGAAGATGGTGAGGGGTCTGGAGACCAAGTCCTATGAGGAAAAGTTGAAGGAGCTGGGTATGACTATAGCTTGGAGAGGAGACGACTGAGAGGTGATATGATAGCCGTCTTCAAGTTCTTGAAGGGCTGCCCTATAGAGGATGTGTGGAATTGTTTTCTGTTGCCCTAGAAGGTCGTACCAAAACCAGTGGGTTGCTATTAAACCGCAAGAGTTTTCAGCTAAACATTAGGAAGAACTTCCTGACAGTTCCTAAGTGGAACAGGCTTCCTCGAGAGGTGGTGGGCTCTTCTTTGGAGGTTTTTAAGCAGAGGCTAGACGGCCATCTGACAGCAATGCTGATTCTGTGAACTTAGGCTGTTCATGAGAGGGAGGGCAGGAAGGGTTGCCTCAGTGCTTAGTTCTTGTGACGCTTTCTTACATGCCCAAGGAAATGCTGATCACCACTTTATTTATTTATTCATTCATTTATACTTTCGATTTATTAATCACTTTCCCCACAAGTGGGCTCAAAGCGATTTACAGTTACACTTTAGACAGGGGACTAACAATGTTTCATAGGGGATAGGAAAGACAACACGTAATTCTTATTATCTGTCTTATTGGCTCTTTTATCCATTTGGGTAAGTTGCTTCTGGACGGAATCCAGCTTGGTATTAATTGTAGACATCTGGTCCAGGAGAGGGCGCAAGCATATTGGGAAAGTCTGCAGCTGCTTCCTTTCGGGTCAGGAAGCAATTTTTTCTCCAAGCCAGCTTGGCTGGGGATCCTGGAGGGTTTTTTGCCATCTTCTGGGCATGGAGCAGGTGGGGGTTTCTGTGGGGGAAGTACTTGTGCAGGGGGTTGGACTAGATGACCCTGGAGGTGCCTTCTCTGTGATTTTAAAAAAAAAAAGCTTAGTGATATAGCATCTACCAGTGGTTGCTGTGACAGACATTTTGTGGTTCCCGTGGTTTCCTGTGGCAGCCCACCACTCTGTGTCAGAATTCCAAAGGTGCCCACAGGCTCAGAAAGGTTGGGGACCCCTGACCTAGAGGCTTCACCGTGGACATTTGGGTCACCTGAGAAATGCTGGAAGGATCTGGAGAGAGAGGCTGAAATCTGCTCTAGCTAGTTCTGGAGTTGATCCAGCTGACAGTCATCTATATACTAATAGCGAAGTCGCCCCCGTGCGTGTGGATACCTAAATCCGTGCATCGGGGGCACCTGGGGGGGAGGGAAATTTTTGTGCACACTTGGGGCAGTCCCCAGGTGTGCACAAAAATCTAAAAACCCGGAAAAAATACCGGGGGGATACTTAAATCCCCCCAAAAGTGACAGAGCATCCCCTGCGCATGCGCAGGAAACGCTCTGCGAACTCCCTTGCTGCCGCCGCTGCTTCGGAGCCAGGGGGGAGAGCAGCGAGGCGGCGGGGAGGGAAGGCAAGGGGGGGAGATCGAGCGGGGGGGTGGAGGAGACGGGGGCTTCCTCCTCTTCCTCATAGGTGTGGAGCTCCCTCCCCCCCTCCCGCAAGTATCGCGGGTCCCGCCCCTTGTCTATATATCTAATTCCCAACATGGCCCCCTGCATGCTGATACTTATTTCTGCAGATTGGAGCACATGGAGAGAAAAGAGATTATCCTACACATTTGGGGCACTCCCCAGGTGTGCAGAAAAATCTAAAAACTTTTAAAAAAAGAATACGGGGGATACTTAAATCCCCCCAAAACTACAACAGCTTTTTCTGCTCAGGAGCAGAGAACGGACTTACCATGAGGCGCTTTCTCCCCCCCCCTCCCTTTCTCTCCTTGGAAAGTGACTGCCCTTAGCAACAGCTTTCCTAGCAACGAGGCCTTCACAGGCTTTTCCGCTTTTGGGAAGCTGGGTGCAAAGAGGGACGGGAAGCGGCGGGTGGCTTTATGGCTGAGCCTGCACTGGCTCAGCCTCCCAGGCACTGCCACCACCGCCGGGCTCAAAGTTAGGGGGAAAGGAAGGGAGAAAGAAGGGGGTGATTGGCTTGGGGGGGGGAGAGAAATGGAAAGATGGGAGTATTTGCTTGGGGCGGGAGAAAGAAGGGAGATGGCTTGCGGAGGGGGAGAGAGAAAGAAAGAAAGAGGGATCGACTTGGTGGAGGGTTGTAAAGAAAAAGGAGGGATTGGCTTGGGAAGAGAAAGAAAGGGGGAGAGGGAAGGAAGCAAAGGTGGTGGGGGAATGCCTCCTCCCCGCAAGTTTCTTGCGGGTTCACCCTTGTTTGGTCTACTTTTTGAGTTTCCAAAAAGGTTCTCTTGGTTACCATGAACACCCTCACTTCTGTTCCTCTAAAAGCATGCATGTTCACAAATCTAATCTAAGGCCCTCTATTGCTCTATTGCTTACCAATACATTTTGGATTTGTCCAGTCTTCTCCCCCCCCCTCCCATTTTAGAAAGAGTCTTAATGAATCAGTTGCTGCTAAGTATGCCTGAGTTCTGTGTGCTGATGGACCTAATCAGCACTGCTGTTGATCTTCATGGGTTTTGTCCAGTTCTGTG